TAAACTTCACAAGCAATACAAAATAAAGCCAAGGCAGTAAAAACCGTCGTAAGCACCCACAAACAACAACAACACAGTCAATTGGAGAGTGAAGCTTGGAGAAGAGGAAGAAAACAAGTGCAGACCAAAGGCGTGGATGTGTTCCATGCCAAGGGCGAAGAATCATTTCAACCCATTTTAATCGCATATAAAACAAAAAAATACACACAAAACCCATTTTCTTAAGCCTCAGTGGAAGAAGTGAGATACACTTGGCAAGACTTTCCCTCCCCATTTGATGCCCCTAAATCTGCTCCCTCTTTTTAGCATATTGCCTTTGTTAAAAGTGTAAAGGAGTGAAGAAGGTAGGAGGACTTTGATGAGGACAGCAGTAGACACTACCACAGGCCCGATCATGCTTTTGTGCTTTGAGAGGGAAAGAAGTATTGCAAAAAAAAATTGGGCAAATAAACTTCCAGTTTCTATGCTATGCAAATACACGCCCACTTCCGTAGAGGTCATCAAATGATGCGCATAACTGGGCCAAACGATAATGCTCTCGAGATTAGGACTTAGGCAGCACCAATTTGGAGATTTTATGAGGCAGCAGAGGAGTGGAGAGGAGGTCTTTGTCCTTCTCTGGGTCTGGCTAAGGCGATTGTGCATTTCTACTCGGAAAGAGAAGACGTGACCTTGAGACTGCGTCCTTTTCAAGTGGGAGCTCTACTTTTGGAGGTCGTCGGCATGATCAGGTCATGTCAGATCCGAGGAATTGAAAATAACTTGAAGATGGAGTGATGCAAGACTATCAGACTAAAGGGAGGCAAAAGTTTGTTTGTTTTTTTTTTTAATTCTTCACTTATGTGTAATTGTTAAGTTAAGACGCTAAGCTTTGTCTCACCTCCATTGTCTGGCCACCTAACATCCCCCCAGGCAATCATGAAGGTGATACTGACGCGAACTGAGGAAGAATATCTTCAAACACAAAACTAACGACTGGTTTTTTTTTCCCCACCAAAGCAAAAGTTAAGCTTGTTTGGACTTATAAATGATTAAAATGATCATTGATGTACCAACTCTTCCTCCTTTGTTTCTCATTTGACAACTTGTCACACTGTGGATTGTCCATAAGTTGGACACAACGTCATGCGATGAGTGCGTACAATTTAATCATCATAAAATGGAGGCAAATTGACGCAAAAAACGACAACTCACGGTAATAATGAGCTTGGCTGTGGAGGAGAGAGCCTGTGAAGCGTTGAGAGGTTGATCAGTAGCAATCACCAGAAGGTAGTATGACGACTTAGTCTCATAATCCAGTGCTACACGTGTTTTCACCTGTCCAGTAATCCTGTCAATGTGAAAGTACTCATAATCCTCCTCCTCCTCCTCCTCCTTCTTCTCTCCCACCGTTGAATTGGTCTCGCCGTCCTCCTCCTCCCGTCTCCATGGTGCAAGGGAGTAGTTGATGGCAGCATTCGGTCCAGCGTCTGCATCGTTTGCATGAATGTGCGAGGTACTCATAAATTGCCTCGAAGTGTGGCCATAATGCATGAAGGAGTCCCTAAAATCCACAATTGCATTTGCTTCATTCTCCACCACTGTGCCAAAGAATTGAGTTTTATCAAACACCGGTGGATTGTCATTGGCATCCTTGAGGAGGATACGAATTTGACTTTGACCAATCAATCGTGTGGCTGTTCGTCCATCAACACATCGAACATTAACCAAGTAACTGGGCGCCCTTTCTCGGTCTAAGGGCGCCAAGCTTATCAACTCGTACACCTTCCTCCGTTGGATGGTGTTCTCACTCCTCACCTCACGCAAATCAAAGAGTCGTTGAGGTGAGGTGATTTCGCACAAAACCTCGTCCAAACTGGTGTCCTGATCGTAAACGTGGACGTGACAAATGACCTTGGGTGATTGAATGTCCGTGTCTTCCTCTCGTTCGAGACTGGCGTAGTCAAAGTTGAGTAAGTTGCCTTTGTTGAAGAAACGGATGACTGGCGGTTGATCATTGGTATTTAGAACTTGCACAGAGACAGTGGCAGTGGAAGCTAAACGTGGTGTGCCGTGATCCTGCACCACCACCTCAAAATCGAAAGCGCTAACCATCTCGTAGTCGAGGGGTTGCATGAGTCGAAGCACAACACCATCTGGGGCCGGTGAGGCGAGAACATGCATCCGAAGAAAGTCGGTGGGCAGCTTTTGATGAGCTACAAAATGACTACCAGGCCGTAGGAAGTAACTCAGACGTGCGTTCTCCCCCAAATCCACATCGGTGACACGCAAGTGTACCAACGTCTTGCCAATTTCGTTCTCTTTCACAAAAACTTTGAACTCACTCTGCTTAAACATGGGCGCGTT